ATTTCGTACAGCCTGAGAAGAGAGTTTCCAATCACTGCACCAACTTGCAACTCTGACGACAACTACCCACAAAACCACATTTATTCACAGCAATACAAATACAACAAATATCCCCCGTATAGCCGTCACAGACTGTAGGAGCAAGTGTTGTTAGCGAGCACCTATGAGGGGTTCAGTGGCGCCAGTGTAATGCGAGCACAAATGGGGTGGTTGTGGGCCTTCGCGCCAATCACGCGGGCCGGAGCATTGGGGGGCGGAGCCTGGTCGATGGAGCGTGTGGGAGGAGCCACTGCTCATCTCGGCTCCAATGGGAGACGGGGTGAGCGGGGGGCGGAGACGGGGCCAGGAAGGAAGGAGGAGTCTGGGTCACGTGAGGTGGAGGATATAAGGGGAGAGCCGGAAGGAGATGGAGAGGGAGAACGGAGCAAGAATAGGAGGAGGCCACGCTTGGTAGAACAGGAGGAGCGGCGCCATCTGCCACGTGGCGTGGGGTCGACGGGGCTATAGGGGTCTGAGTGCTAGCCGAGTGTGCGGGGCACACGTGGCTCGTGAGTGACTAGCGGAGTGTGCGGGGTACACGGAGCGAGTGGTGTGGCTGGCGCATGTGCGGGGCACACGGACGGAGACAGAGCGGAGCGGCCACCAGCGAGGCGGCCCATACGGAGCGTGCGCGGGGCGTGCGCGGAAGTGGTGCGAGTCGGGCCGAGGACCAGCAGGGTGTGGTGCAAAGAACCTAAATAAACGACACAACGGAGACCCAGAAAGCCTGACGGAGTCGTTTATTACACCAGCACAACTCCCAGCTGCTTTTGTTTCCCTAGTGGCGATGTTTACACACCACACCAGATACTCATTTGAGGCTGAGTCGACCTAGGGGAGGCCTCGGACTGGTTCAGATAATTGTCACAGGTGTTGGTCGTGAGCAGGAATCAAACTCGTGTCGCTGGGTTGATAGCGCAGCTCGCTAATTGTTGCCCCACCGCTCCCCACACAATAACACACAGTCACTCACAGACGTATCATCCATCTCCACATAGTGTTCGCCTCCGACAACCTCACAACACAACAACTGCAACAACCACTATCACATCAACAAGTAGACTACTAAACAATGCGCCAATAAACTCATTCACGATTTACACTCCTCCTAGAGCAACGTGAGAATAAAGCGTTACATCGGTTCAAAGGCCACAATAAACACGAACCACATCAAACACAGCGTACTCAACATCAGCAACCACCAAAACTACTAAATCATTGGGGTGGCGGTGACATGGCCGAGCAGGTCTAATCCATCAGGCCGCCCTGGTTAATACTGCGGGGTGAATTAACTGTAGCGATACGAGGCGTCTACTTTGTTTCAGAGTAGACGTTATATTAATATATCCAGTCTTTTTTGTCGTGTCTTCTGTTTAACCTATATGGTATTTTTCCAATATTCTAAACAGGCCACCGCTTCTGGTGTTGGTATTGCCAAATCTTGAGGAGTGCATTGTGGTGCTGCAGGGCATCTCAGGGGATGGCCCATGGTTTTCTTCTCCTGACAAGCACATTGGTCGGTTGTGGAGAAGCCCTCTGATGATTTCATGAGAGTTGTATCTGCCGAAACCCACTCCCAGTCTGTTCAGGCTCTACCATGTGAGCCATTTGGAATTTGAGCGAGATGCGAGCTCCTCACTGGGGTTGATTCCTCGCCGGCTCCAGTGGAGACATTTGTAAAAGTGGTAGGCCATTATGTGTGCTGTGGTGTTAGAGTCCAAATTGGAAAAAGTACTGATAATTACTCAATGGGGATTATACACCGAAATGATCACTCACCACATACGAAAACTTGGCAGTACCATCCTAACAAGTTGTAGCACTTAGTGAGGCTTCCCTGGGTAAAACAAAATCATTTAAGAATACTGATTATATTCTGCTCTTGTATATCATGGCAGCAGGGACTTGGTGCCAATGCCGAGGTCTACTGGCCACGACGAGAGCTTGAGGAGAAAGTTCGTATTGTTTTTTGTTTCGTCTCAATTGAAGGAACACAGACCACAGTGGTTTACTATACGGATTATACTTTGGGTTGCATGACCACGATCACACTACCGTGGCTTGTCTTAATGTTCCATTCACGAAGGCGACGTACGCAAAAACCTGATTATGTACTTATGTGAGTGATGGTTCCACCAGTGTCTCCGAGTGGGAATGTCAAAGCCAGGAAACGCAATGGATGTTTGCGTCTCAAAATGAATAGTTTATACTGGGCGTCCGCGTTGTTCCACTCTTTTCCGCACGAGATCATTCTTCCTGACCCTCATTTTGCACGAGTTCTTACTGAGCGGTATTTTTTTGTTTTACTACCAAAAAAAGTGTAAAGGCACTGTGTGCGGTTCCCAGCTCCACGGGTCGAGGAGTGGGGAATAGCGAGGAAGACAGCGGCGGTGCGGCACGTGCACTCCGGGCTGACCCAGACGCCACGACTATGCGCTCCTCTCTCTTTGCGTGGATTCTGCGATAGCCGTGCCACGCTAATTGGCCGTAATAGGGGAGAGTCGATGAGTTTGGCAGACGATGCCATGCACTCCCTTGCCAGATACTGGACCGCGGAGAGCTGCCTCGCTTACGTCCTCTTGTATCTCAAAAACAATATTCTCAGTCCACAAGTCTGCCCTAGCCAAATGGTATGGGTTTTTTTTCTCTAACTTTGATTGATGTGCAACTGGGTATAGCTGTAAAGGAACCCTCCCCTTCCTTGCCTGACCACGTCCATGACTCACTTCGGCATGTTACGGAGGCGCGGGAAGCCACCAGGAGTGCAACGGCCCGTACACAGGCACGGAACGAGAGATACGTGCGTTGATCGCGACGTGACATGCCTTAAGCGGTGGGTGACGCGGCGTGGCTCCATTGTCCTCAGGTGCCTGTGGGCATGTCCCCTAAAGTGCACAGGCCTTGGCGAGGGCCTGTTAGACTAATAGAAATCCGGAATCCCCAAAGTGTTCACATCCAGTACGGGCTGCGTCGTTGGTATGTGCACTCGTCGCGTCTGAAACCTTATTTCGAACCACGCACTGGCCCTTCATCCCTACTTGCTGACCTGCCGGGGTCTGATGTGCCTGACGTGCCACTTGCCTCGCCAATTGATCTCCAGCGTGTTCTACCCCCCGCAGACACACAGGCCTTGAAGAGCGTCGAGTCCCCTGACGAGCGGCCTCCGACGAGACCCATTCCATCCACAAAGGACACTGAGCCCGCTCCTTCTCCGCTGCCTCCTTCTGCTGAGCAGTCGGCGAGATGACCACGCTCCATGGGAGGAGAGGTACCGGCGTTGCGCACACGTTCGAAATCACTTCCATTTCGTTAACGCAGTTTCCATGTTTTACCTGTAGCCCCTTCTGTTATGTCGCGCTTCGGTTGGCGCCCTAATGTTGTGTTGCTCCTACATTGCACATTATTCCATGCCCTAAATGTTCACCTTCGACCGCGCGTTGTTCGGCACCCTAACAACCTTATATCATTATGCGTCATTGACGCCCTAAATGTTAGTCACAAGGGTTGGTGCATCGCCCTTTTCTCAGCCGAGACGGCTGGCTTTTTACACTGGGGGGGGGGGGGGGGGGTGAGGTAATGTGAGGTTACACCTGGATGATAATGTTGGGCTCTGCCGGCTTCAGCCTGCAACCAATGGGGAGGCGAGTTAGGGGTGTGGCCCTGGGGCTGTACAGTGGCTTCTGGAAAGTTCCAGGGATGTGGCAGAGGATTGGCTGTGGGGCATCACGTGGGCCAGGTATTAAAAGGGGCGGAGAAGGACAGCACGTGGTCAGAGTGTGGAGGAACGAAGGGGGAAGCCACGCTGGTGCCGTGGTCCGGAGTCTGCCACGTGGCGGGCCGCGGCAGTCTCTCTCTCTCTCCCTCTCACGCTGTCTGCCAACAGCGTGAAGGAGCAATAGAGTAGAGGAACAGATGTAGTGAGAGCTATGGACGAAACTTAATAAAAAAATTCTGAATTGCCGACATTGTCGCAACGGGGTTTATTAAAGTAGTATCCACTGGCTATAGTGTAATGCGAGCGCAAGCAGGGTTCGCTGCTGGCCTTTGGGCCAATCACATGGGCCGGGGTATTGGGGGGCGGAGCCAGTATGGGGGCGTATGTGAAGGTCCCCGCTCACCTCGGGTCCAATCGGAAGCGAGGTGAGTGGAGGCGGAACCTAGGGGCTGAGCCAGCAGGGCGCGATGGAGGGGCGAGATCTGGAAGGTTCGAAGGCACGAGGTGTGAGGGAGGAGACAGAGTCACGTGAAGGGGATTTAGGTGGCAGCCCGGAAGGGCTCCGGGTCAGTTGTTGGAGTAAAGAAGCAGGACCACCTTGGGTGGTCAGAGGGATTCCGCGCCATCAGCCACGTGGCTGCACGGGCTCAGCACACCGTTGGCCAGCGGTGTGCGGTGCGGGGGAAGCTGGAAAGACTGACGGAAGAGCGCGTGCGGGGCGCGTCGCAAGGAACAGCTGGTCCGGTGTTGGGACCAGCGGGGTGCGGGTGTTAACCTAAATAAAGAGTGGACGGAGACTCAAGCAAAGCGTGGCGAAGTCCTTTATTACAATAGTAGTAACTACTAATGCTACAGAAGTATCTACAGACTCTATAGTTGTATCTACTGACTGTAGATTTACTGGCCATAGTAGTATCTACTAACTCTACGGTAGTATCTATTGGCTCTATATTAGTATCTACTGACTGTAGTAATATATACTGACTGTACACACGGACACCACAAACACAACACAGCCACCAACACACAGACAGATAGCACATCAGGAGCTATGAAGGCTGGAATTCCACACACAGAGACACCACACACAGACAGCACATAACAGACACACACAGACGTGGTGAGGCCTAGTCCCATGCAGAGCCCCCGGCCTCGCCTAGATTGCCCAGCCAGCCGAGGTGGCACCTTGGCAGGCTGAGGCTGGGCAGCTACCCCCCCCCACCCACGATCCCCCCGCCCGCTCTACAGTAGTATCTACGGCCTATAGTAGTAGCATCTAGCAACTCTATAGTAACTGCACACATTGGGGTGAGAAGAGGACATGAAAGTGAAAATTTTACCTCAGTCCTGTGCATTTTTTTGGCATTTTGAACGCAAATGAATTGCCCCCTCCACCGAACGTGTATGCGTTGCTAGGGGCAACCACGGCTCAGCTTTGTCGCGCATGCGTAGATGCGTGCTTTGGCATGTGTTGAGCAGCACAATATAATAGCACTAAATTGCTCATTTAACTACTTTAAAGTTGACAGATGTGAAAATCGAATAGCGCTGGCTCACCGTGGGGCTTATCGCGTGGTACCTGGCTACTTTTTAAAAACTTAAACCTCACAGTTTGCGAGCCAAATCCTTCGCAATTTTTGTACAGACACACAGACAAAAAAATGACACTAGCGGTAAGTACCCGGCGTTGCCCGGGCAAAAATGACAAACACACACATCGACCCACACACATAGAAACACATCGACTTAAATGCACACACACACACAGGGACTCACACAGACATCGACTTTAGACACACACACACACAAAGAGTTACACACACACATCGACTTACAGACACACATCGACTCATACACACATACATAGACTCACACACAAACATAAATGGACTCACACACGCACAGAGGCACACACACATGGACGTACACACACACAAATGTACGAACAGACACACACACGGACTCACACACACACATGGACCAAAACACACACAGAAAGAAATGTACTTACACTGACTCACATGGAGCGACGCACACACAGCTACTAACACACACGCACAGCGACTAACACACACGCACACCGACTGACACAAACACACAAACATATCGACTCACACACACATTGACTCACACACACAGACACATCGACTTACACACACATCGCCGCAGACACGCACATCGACCCACACGCACACATAAACTTAGACACAGGCATTATTATTGTGAAAAGTAACTTAATTTAAAAAGAGTAGTTGTCTACACACGCACACCACGCAACACACATTGACTAACACACACACATGGACTTACACACACATTGACGGTATGCACTATCACTATAGCAGTGCATACCGACTGTGGTGGTACCTCCTTTCACTACAGCGGTGCACACGGACTGTGGTGGTACCTGCTTTAACTACAGCAGTGCAAACCGACTGTGTTGGTTCGTGGTATCACTACAGCAGTGCCTAGTGACTGTCGTGTAACCTGCTATCACAAAGGCAGTGCATACTGACAGTGGTGGTACGTGCTTTCACTACTGCAGTGCATACTGAATGGGGTGGTACCTGCTATTAATACAGCAGTGCATACTATGGTGGTACCTGCTATCAGTTGTAGCGTCCCCCCTGTGGGACATGGCTCGTGGCTGGCTCCTCACCACCTCGGGTTAACCCACACACTCCTCCCGTAACCCACCACCCACGCTGTAGGGCTGCGGGCGCGCGCATTACCGGACCTGCTGCCCACCACGTGAACGCGCAGCCACCCGCATCTGTTGCCCACCATGTGCACGCGCTAAAAATAGCGCAGCTGCGGTGCTGGTGCAGGAAATTAATTACTCCGCAGCCTCACTCGCCCCCACGCTCAATTTACTAGGTAATGGATTACTTCGGCACGCAGCCTCACTCGCCCCCACGCTCCAATTACTAGGTAATGTTCGCGCGTCGCACCGTGGATCGTTATCGTCGCTATGCGGACACACTGCGTGAAGCGCGCCGTGTAACCACGCGCACAAGAGAAAGCACCACGTAAAACGGCGAATTAATCAAGATTCACGCGTTAATCCACGGTGCAAACAGTCGATGGCCTTATACGCGCGCTAATTCCCAGTGTCACGGCGCACTATTGATAATAATACACGCGCGTTGATCCACTGTTCATACATGCATGCGAACGTCCCGGATGGTTTATGATTGAATTCGCGCCGATCGTCACACGTAGGCACGCACCCACACCACGTCTACGCTCTCTCCACACCCACAGAAATCACGCGGCATCGTTGCTCTATGCTGGAGTTAATTGCTGACACGACTGTAGGAAAACCCCACGTGGCCCGGAGCCAAAACCACCCAGCGAGCAGCGTCCCACCTAGTTGTACCCAACCCTCACCTATCTCTAAGCTCTCTGTGAGCCCTCACACTATCCCTCTCCCTCACGATTTCTCACGGACGTGCTGCGAGTCGGAGGGACGAGGGTCCAGGAGGTCCCTGCCTGGGTCGTGTCCTAGCCGTGCTCGTCAGCGTCACTCGGACGCTCGAGCGGCAGGAAGGCTGGCTGCATCGTTCGCTGACTTTTTACACTACCACTGTACACATACTATACACCACCATACATACACACATTTCACCACACATCACAAAACTTACCACATACTATGCACTGCACACTTAACACTACACTTCACTCTAAACCACAAATACACTATGCAAGGTGCGTGCATAGCCATCAGGTGGGTTGTACAGTAGAATTGCAGACCCCTGCTGTTACTATCATATAAAATAAAAAAGTAACATCATGCTAAGACCAATTAAATGAAACCCAAGGGATTAAAAGCAAAACAAGTGCAGAAAGTAGGCCTGACATGAAATTGTTTTGATATTATGAACATATATATTTCGTGTATTAAGTCAAATGTAAATATTACAAAAATGCTTACCTTTTCTTTTATTAAAGGGCATTTAAAAACACATCATGAAAACAAATTGGGAGCATCCAGAAAAGCACGGCCACACCTGACAGACACTTTAATAGTAATGTCCAACAGTTACAATTCATGCTTATTCATTTAATCATCATCATGGCTTGGCTTCGCGAACGAAGATCTAGGAAGGACATCCACGTCTTCTGCAGGCACGCTGGTGGCTGACGAGGCCTATGCGGGACAAGCAGGTCCTGCCACAACAGCTGCAAGTATAGGTCTGATCTGGGGTGGGTGCTGAGGGATCATGGTTCTTCCTCCTCCTTTTGTCCTCCATATGGGCCCTGCGGGTATCTTCGAATAAGGAGGTGGCCTGGTGGACTGCGTGCCGCCAGGAGTTGCGATCAGCTGCTTGTGTTGCCCACTGACGGTGATCGATGCAGCAAGCAGTGAGGGACTTCTTCAGGGAGTCTTTGTATCGCTTTCGTGGTGCCCCTATTTCGCGATGGCCAGAGGACAGTTCCCCATACAGCACAATCTTAGGTAAGCGGTGGTTCTAAATCCTGGCGATGTGCCCTGCCCAACGAAGCTGTGTCTTGAGGAATATACATTCCTAATTCATGTTTTAAAAGGCAGCATAATGCTTTGCATATCGACTATTTCACTTCACACTAAATGACTTCATATGTACAGAAAGCCCATCTCTGATTGAATTACACCTATAACCCCATTCATTATTTAAATGACAGAAGCTAGTGAATAAGGAGGATGCTATGGAAAATGGTCTCAAACTCCAGGTTACACATCTTCCAAGGTGCCATTTTACACGTGCTGGCCCCTCCTACTCAGATTTGTCCAAAAAGTCCATCCACACCTCCACATCCACAAACTGCTGGGGATTGCCTCGCTCTCCCTCAGAATCGGAAGGCTCCTCCTGCTTCACGCTGCCTCTATCCACTTGCAGATTGGGTCCTGGAGTCGAATCTTGATCTTCACATTTCACCGTCACTTCTTCACATTTCACCGTCACTTCTTCACATTTCACCCTCACTTCTTCACATTTCACTGTCACTCCTGGCCATGTTGCCAAGTGGGAATTTTCTTCCGATTCTCGTTTCACTAGAGATGGGCTAATTGCAGCACGTTGACTTTCACAAGTCGATTTCACTTTCTCCTTGTGTATCTTCTCATGCCTCTTTAGGTTTCCTGATAATGTAAACTCCTTCCCACAGACAGTGCACTTGAAGGGCTTCTCACTGGTGTGTGTTCTCTGATGAATATGAAGAGTTTTTAAAAGAGCAAATGCCTTCCCACACACAGTGCACTTGAAGGGCTTCTCACTCGTGTGTGTTCTATTATGTTTCTTAAGAGTGTCTGAACGAGCAAATGTATTGCCACACACAGTGCACTTGAAGGGCTTCTCACCCGTATGTGTTCTTTGATGAATATGAAGAGTTTTTGAACAAGCAAATGCCTTCCCACACACAGTGCACTCAAAGGGCTTCTCGCCTGTGTGTGTTCTCTGATGAATTTGAAGAGTTTTTGAATGAGCAAATGCCTTCCCACACACAGTGCACTTGAAGGGCGTCTCACCTGTGTGTGTTTTTTGATGAATATGAAGATTTTCTGAATAAACAAATGCCTTCCCACACACAGTGCACTCTAAGGGCTTCTCGCCTGTGTGTGTTCTCTGATGAATTTGAAGAGATTTTGAACGAGCAAATGCCTTTCCACACACCGTGCACTTGAAGGGCTTCTCACCCGTGTGTGTTCTCTGATGATTATGAAGAGTTTTTGAAAGAGCAAATGCCTTTCCACACACCGTGCATTTGAAGGGCTTCTCACCCGTGTGTGTTCTATTATGTTTCTTAAGAGTTTCTGAAAGAGCAAATGCATTACCACACACAGTGCACTTGAAGGGCTTCTCACCCGTGTGTGTTCTTTGATGAACATGAAGATTTTCTGAATAAGCAAATGCCTTCCCACACACAGTGCACTTGAAGGGTTTCTCACCCGTGTGTGTTCTTTGATGAACATGAAGATTTTTTGAAAGAGTAAATGCCTTCCCACACACAGTGCACTTGAAGGGCTTCTCACCCGTGTGTGTTCTTTGATGACCATGAAGATTTTCTGAACAAGCAAATGTCTTCGCACACACAGTGCACTTGAAGGGCTTTTCACCCATGTGTGTTCTCTGATGAATATGAAGAGTTTTTGAAAGAGTAAATGCCTTACCACACACAGTGCACTTGAAGGGCTTCTCACCCGTGTGTGTTCTTTGATGAGCATGAAGATTTTCTGAACGAGCAAATGCCTTCGCACACACAGTGCACTTGAAGGGCTTCTCGCCCATGTGTGTGCTCTGTCGCTGCTTCAAACGTCCACTGCGATCCGTGCTGTATACACACTGGTCATATTGGTGCGTTTTATCACCAGGCTGTGTCGAGGGTCTCTTCTCCATGCGATTAATTCTGCAGATATACACATACACATTACACATAATTACACACAATATACAAGACAAGGGTCCCCTTGTATAGCCAGACTGTTGGGACAAGTGCTGTTAGCGAGCACCTATGAAGGCTGACACAGGCAATGAGTCGGTGGGTGGCCAACATCACAAATGGCTGCCTTTGTCTCCCTAGTGGCGATGCTTACGCATCGCACCAGGTAATGATTTTAATCTGAGTCGACTGATGGGAGGCCCAGAAATGTTTCAAATAATCATCACTGGTGGTGGCCGTAAGTGGGAATTTCACTTGTGTCTCCGGGTTTGTAGTGCAGCACACCAACCACTGTACTTCTACTCCCCAGATTACACACCCAGAGTACATGCACATAATATACGTACTCATTACACACTCTAAAACAAAGTACACCGAGAAAAAATATCCTGTTCATGCAAGTGCTGATAACCAGCACCTATTAATGCTGACATTGCATTAATAGGATGTGGTGTGGCCAGAACCACAACCGACTGTCATCGTCTCTCTAACAATGTTTCCAAACTGCAAGAGGTAATCATTTAAGACTAAGTAAAACCATGGGAGCCCCAGGACCAGTTCACCTATTCACTGCCACCAATGTTGGCCAAGAGTGGCAATCAAACTCCGAAGAGTTAGTCGCAAAGTGCATGAACCAATGCATCACCACTCCCCACATTACCCGCTCATACGCACAGAGACACACAATTATACAATCATGGTCTATAGACGGCCAGACAACAGCAGTCGAGCATGTTTCTGGCCACCCACCCCCTGGTGTGTCATGCCACCCTTCATAAGTGGTCGCTAACAGTACTTTCCCCAACAGTCTGTTCAAGCTGTAGGGTGCATCTTTGTCTTTATCTTGTGTGTGAGGGAGTGGAGTTTGCATGTTCTTCTCCTATGTTGCATGGGATTCGTCCAGGTTTTCTGGTGTGTTCTTGCAGCTAAACCCAAAAACAACGTAGTTGGTTTTACCCAAAAGATCCCACTGGTGAAATAATTACCTGGATGACTCAATTGAGATTACAATCAGTAAAATTTCTGCCTACTGCAACAACCTTGGCAGAACCCTCCTGAAAAAGAGTTTTGAGACTCAGTGAGGATCTCCTCATTGAGGTAAAGCAATAACCCAGGCTAAGACTAATTCCAAGAGAAACCAGACAACAGTGGGCAAGCTTAGCAGACAAGCTCTGCATAGCCAGGCCCCACATCGTAATGTTTCATATTACAAACTGGACATCGATTCACAGTTATGAAATTGATATTCACACAAAATAAATAATCGAGGCTTTCCTGGGTAAACATATTAACGAACATGTTTAATATCGGGCCTGCCTGGTGTATTTGTTTGTTTTTAATAAATTTGAGTCTGATTTAAGAAGTTATCTTAGACTGACATTGTTTCATTAATTTTACATAATGGCAGCTTTCTGTGCAAGCCTACTGTACATCCCACCTGCTGGCTGTACAAATACACATTACATGTAGTGCAATGTAAAGTAAGGAGGACACAAGATCATGGAATTGGACAAACTAGTCCAGAGCCCAAAGAGGAAGTGAAACCAAGGCAAAACAATGATAAAAAGACTAAAAAATATGGACTGAGTATTACAGCAATTTTTATAAGGATCAAGAGAATAATGAGCTGCTGAATGAACTAGAAAATATATCCCCACCACCAAGGAATGCTGCAATGATAATATATTTTAAGAAGTAGAAAAGCCAATAAAAATCTCAAGAAAAACAAGAGTTAATTCGTGGATGCAATGAGTGGAGAAATTATAAAATCTGGAGGGAAGGAACTTATAAAATAAATCCATGAGCTATGCAATAAAGTATGGAGAGAAAATATTGATTTGAAGCTTGCGTGACTGCAGGAATCCATACTCTTTGGTTCTTTCGGTAAAGTCACGTAGGTATGGAGAGAAAGGAAATACCGGAGGAGTGGGCAAAATCCAAACTTGTGACAATACTCAGGAAAGGAGATCTCATGGAGGGTAAAAATTACCAAACCATCGCACAAATGAGCCTAATGGGGAAGATACTAATAATAGTACTCTTAAATCAATTAAAACCGCAGACTGAGGATTATTTGGCAGATTAACAGGCAAGGTTCAGAAAAATAGGAACACAGTACATCAAATGTTAATTTTAAGGTTCATAGCAGAGAAAGAAAAGAGAAAGAATAGGCTGGTTTACAACTGTTTCATAGAGTTCGAGAAACTATTCGATTTGACAAAGCCAGCTAAAACGTGGGCAATATTAGGATCATACAGAGTAGGGAAAATATTGATCCCGCAGATTCTGCAGGACATAGGTGAGAGGTTAAAGTCGGCAGTAGAATTTGGACCATTAAAGTTTGGACAGGAAATATCAAAATGTTCCCAACAACAATAGACATGACACAGGGAGATCCACTATCGCTAAACAACTTTGTCACATACATGGAAAGATTGATGGATGCCATTCCGGAAAACGGCACAGGAGTATCTGTGCAAGGAAAAAAAAATAATATGGGATTTGCTCACAACACAGATCTGATGGAAAAAAGCTGCGTGGTACTGCAGTAAAGTATGCATATGCTGAATATGCCAGGAAAGGAGGCAGGACTGAAGATTAATGTGGAAAAAACATGGATGATGGCATTAGGAAAGGAGAAATTTGAGAAAGAAGTAATACTAGAAAACAGCAAGATTGAGAATGAAAAGGAATTTGAATACTTTGGAAGTCTACTGACATGGGACGACTGCACAAACGACATTATAGCGAGGGTCGCAAAGGGGAAAGGAGTAATAGCAGGCTTTAATGAAATCTGGAGCAGCAAGTAAATCAGCAACAAGACTAAACTGAACATCTTAAGAACATGCTTGTTGAGTACAGCTTCGCATGAAAACGACTGACAGAGATAAAATGTTGATACTCGAAATGTATTACAGTAAGACCTCAGAGTACCCTGGTGTAAATGCAAATTCGCGTAAGTTGGGGTTCGCCGAAACGAGTGCACTGTATATGATGCTAGCTGGGTGGACTCGTTTCTTGCGCGTGCGATACAGTTACACGCCGTCAAAATACATGTTCACGTGATGGCGGGGGTGATTTGACTTGCTTCTAACCCCGTACTTGTAGCGAAAGAACAAGTCACAAGTGTAAATATGAATCGGAGTCAGTCACATATGATTGGGTCCGCGTACTGAGCCCTCATAATCTGAGACCTTACTGTACTAGAGAATATGTACTGCAACTAACTTGGACTCAGAGTGACTAAAGTAGAACTAAAAAAAAGTTCACACAGAATACCTGATTGATGCAGGCACTGATGAGAAGGAAACTGGCACTAATCAGTAAATGTAAAAGTGTGTTGTTCAGGAAAATGGAAGGAACCGGAAAGAGGAAGACTTTACAGAGAATGGCTGAAGAGATTGGTGCCAGAAAGTTGTGCACTTCTTGAGCATATTGGCACAAGACAGAGGAAAGTGGAACTAATTGACAATGTGCAGTGGACACTTACGGGATATGTCCATAGATCGTGGTGGTGATGATGATGATTACATCACAGCGAAATAGTGCAGCTGTTCATCTCTGCTGACATTGTAGCTCTGTAAAGCAATATCTGTAAGTAATTGTTGTTACATTAGGTTGCTACTAATTACAGTAAGGTTGTGTTAAATGGCAGGATTTAACGGGATTCATGTGAAAGTGCAGCACTGTACTCGTGTTGAAGATAGCAACAGAAGCCTTGATAGCATTTGCTGTAATATTGGTAGTTTAATTGTTGAAAAATGGCTGTGTTGTTAAGATACACTCTGATGATTTAAGACTTTAGTAAATTATTGTAAATGAGTAATGGCTTGCTTGTACATATTTGATGTAAACCTGTACGCTGTATGGCCAAGTTGTATACATTGCCAATGTTGCAAAGGATGTTTTGGGACAGTGTTTAGTGTGATGCCGCCGCCACGAAGCCGTTCGGCAGGCACCAAATCCCCGACCTCGCCACCACCAAGCAACGGAGCCGACCCCGCGTCCCCCTCACCTCACCTCACATGAACACACCCGCACTCATTCCCCCCCCCCCCCCCATAGAGCTCCGAGGGGAGGTCGCCTGGCCGACCGGTTTTTATCCGAGAGACCCTTATCGGGATTAATTCTCACGGTTTCCGGCGATCAGGGAATTGGATGACCTCCCCCGTGCTACGTGGCACCGCGGCGCTGCGGCCGGCCTTAATATGGTGTGGTCGCGGCGTGGGGCATTCGGCCACCGCGGTTGAGGCGCATTTCCCCCCACACACACTCCCACGGGTCGACGGGGCGAGCAGGGGAGGCACGGGACAGCATGAATAGCGGGGTCACAGGGGCTGTTGCGCATAGTCATGGAGGGTTGGGATAATTGCGCTTGAGCGCGCAGGCCCCATTGTTAGGGAGGGTAAGGGATTAAGTAGGATTTACGCCTTGCATGCAGCACACTGATTAGCATATCAACAGCGCCCAGAACCGCCGTGCGCGTGCCAGAGGATCGCGAGCCCATTGTTTAGTGCAGCATCCCCTTTGAGGTAGGGAGGATAAATAGAGGGGCGCAGAGGGAAAATAGCGGTTCTCTCCAGCGCCAGGCGACAGGACGCTCTCCAGTCCAGCGACCCGATCGTCCGTGAGACGCATCGAGGTGCGCTGCGAGCACGGGATCAACGAACCGCCGTGGGCATCCAGCAGGAAGTAAGTAGGTGAATTAGAATCATAGCAGATAAATCGGGAATAGGTATAAAGGTATCAGCGTAGGCCAGCCTCGTCGACTCACTGATTTAACATTAAATTACCAGGTATCAGATAATAAATCATTAATAGCGAAGAGTGGTCTCGCGTGATATTGTCGTGCAGTGTGAGCGTGTGGGTGCGCGTGTGTACACTGTGGTTCACCACGTGAGTGAGCGCTGCGTGGAGCGGCGCACGAGTGGGTGTCGCGTGTGTGCAGGTGTGTGCGCTCGTAGTGT